CCAGGTTCACGGATGGTGAAACAAAGTAAGAAAATTATTCCCAACAATCCCAGTCAACATATCATTGCTTTTCATGGGCTCTGATTGAGTCACATCCCTGAATCAGTCTCTGTGACCAGAATAATGCTAGTGCTGAGCATCTTTTTTCTAGGTCACGTGTTCTGCCCCTGACCAGGGATGTAGTCAATTCCACTGAATCAGCTCATGGGCTGAAAGTAGAGACGAGGTGGTCCCTAGCAAATAATCAGGTTAAGGTTATCAGCAGGATAAAGGGATACTGGGCAATAAAACAACATATTCAACCACCCTTCAGTTAGTTCAACTGGGTATTTTATGGACTAAGATATGTTATCCTATGTCTATCCCTATTAGATATGATCTTATGAGAATCCTTCCAGCAAGATATTTTAGGCATCCTAATTCTATCAGGCAATGCATTCATTGTTTCTCTTATCTGTATGTATTCCACAGTGTGATAAATGTGCCTTACATATTGCACTCAGTGAACAGACTGTAAATATATTTATATATATTATATAACCACATGATATAACATATAAACAGACTATGAACACAGAGCTCCTCAACCCACCCCCAGGCTCTTCCTTCAGAAGTGATACCACCAGCATCTCTGGATGTGGTTGTACAACCAGATACCAGGCCCATCTTTGTTAAGTCTGGGGCCTATTTCTTGTGCCCATAGATATTAGTGAGCAATCTTAACAAAATGTCTAGACTGCTGGGAAGGTTTCTAATGGAGAGCTAATGTTCTATTCAAAGTATGAATTCTTTATCTAATCATCATCGAAGAGAGACTTTTTTCTCTACATGTCTCAGCTTTCTAATGCTTTCTAAACACACTAAAAATTTTTTCAAAAGTAGCAGCACTAGTAGAAAGGTATATATACTGCTTATTATATGCCAGGCCCTGTTCTAAAAGCACATAGGATTAAATATTAACTAATTTTTCTCTCACAGCAAACTTATGAGCTATGTATGAGTTGTCACAATCATCATCATCACCATTTTAAAGACAAGGAAACTAAGGCCCAGAGAGGGAAACTGAATTCACACAGCTGGTCAGTACAAGCCTGCATTTATACCCACGTTGCCTGGCTCCACAGTCCTTGCACTTACCACGGAAGTGGCGTTTGATCCTGACACCTCTCATCGCCACTTCCAGCCCCCAAGCAAACATGCGGGTGCGTCTGCTTAAAAAAAAAAAAAAATTACCATGAACAAATTAGGGAGCAACCACTCACTTTACAAAAGAGTTTGTCATCATAAGTCAATCATTTTCAATAACAAGTTCCTTCTAGGACAGGTCAACCAGTTAAAGTTCATTAATGACATCCCAGAAACCAAGCCAAGGGGTTAGGACTACTTCCAACTAAAGATCCATGAGAACTGAAAAGATCTCTAGCATAATGTTCACATTAGTAGAAAAGTACAACTGAAAGAAACTTGTCTTACAAACATATCTTTTCCCTGAACAATGGCTATGCTTAGGAGAAAAAAAAAAGCACGTGTGGGAGAAGTTGCAAAGCAGAGGAGCTCAGCACAGCCTCTCACCGAGGTCTCCCTGTGAGCACAGCCTCTCAGGCCTTCCTGCGCTCCCTTGCACTCACCTGACCCACAGTGCTGTTGTGGCCTTTGACAGTACTATTAGTCAGTTCAATCATGCACAAAGGTATAACACAGGTGGCTATTAAATTCAAAGGAGTTGCATACAGCTCTGTTTCTTCCGGAGACTCCATCTCATGATGCTCCAGGTGGTTGAAATGAAGGGGCTTTCATGCAGGGACAACATGCAGAGATGAAGCTGGGTTGAAAGAACACACTAGGGACGTTGAAGAACCCCAGACTAACACCGGTGGGAAGCCATTACCACCTGTGCAGCTGAAGGAGCGTGGGAGGGGACAGTGTTATCAGAGAGCCCAGCCAGAGCAGAGGAAGAGCATCCTGGTGGGAAGGAGGCAGCGACTGCTAAATGCTGCACTAGGAGAGGGCAGGAAGAAGTGCCCCATCTCTCTCCCCCCACCAGCCTCCTGCCTCTCACAGGCAAGCGAGAGGGTGAGGGAGCCCAGGAGATGCAGCCAGCAAGCTTCAGCCCTGAGGGCACAGAGCAGGGCAGGAAAGGGTGGTGAGTACATCTGGAGGACAGAGGATGAGGAACACTATGTCTCTTTCAAAGGTGGGTACACTAAAAAAGGGTTTCTGTCGTGAATGGCACACATAGGGCAACTCGATTGCTCTTTGTGCAGAATCAACATCAAAGGTGGGTAAACTGAGTCACTGAGAGGAAAAGTAATGTTTCAGATCAAAAAAGGCAACCCAGAACCAAGGCAAGGGTCTACTTCCCTCTCCGGGCTCACTGATTTCAAGAAGTCTGAATGCCTGGAGAGAATCATAAAATCTCAAAGGACATCTAATCCCTCAGGCTCCTTTGCAGTATAGTGGCTTTACAAATGGCCCCCAGTGGTCCCACTTCTTCAGAAGTGGTGAGGCTGTGTGTGATCAGGATGACTCAGTCTTCTGCCTGGATTCACTAGAGAGGTTTTAATGAATCACTTGTGTGGGTGATGACTTGGGTGTTGTTATTTTTTCAGTGAACTCACTCTACACACTAACATCGTATCTGTTTGGTGCACAAAGGTGACTCATCTGAGGAAGTCGACCTGACCATGGTTTATCAGGCAGCATCTAATGGAGATGTCAATGCTCTGACCACGGTGATTCGGGAAGACCCTTCCATCCTAGAATGCTGTGACAGTGAAGGTGAGATATTTATTCATCTTGAATCCAGAATGTTCTGCTCTATCGTTTTAGAGAGG